CATGTATCACTATAGTAAGATGACTTTAATTCTTCAGGGTAAATACTGAGAAGTGATATAGTTGGATCATATGGTGGTTCCATGCCTAGTCTTTTGAAGAGCCTCTATACTGATTACCATAGTAGTTGTACTAATTTACAGTTCCACCAACAGTGCAAAAGTATTCCTTTTTGTCCACATCCTCTCTAGCAACTATTATCATTTGTATTCTTGAGACTACCATTCTGACTGGCGTGAGATGAAATCTCAATGTAGTTTTGATTTGCATTTCTTTAATTGCTAATGATATTGAACATTTTTTGTGTATTTGTACTTTCATGTATTTATTGGCCATTTGTATTTCTTTTTTAAGAAGTGTCTGTTCAGTTCATATGTCCTTTAATTGCCCAGCCCTTTTTATTTTGTCCAGGCTTTGAACTTGCAATTCTCCTGCCTCAGCCTTCTTAATCATTGGGATTTTGATAGGGATTGCATTGAATCTGTAAATCATTTTGGATAGTATTAACATCTTAACATTAAGTCTTCCATTCTATGAATATGGGATTTCTTTCTATTTAGTAATATCTTCTTTAACTTCTTTTAACCACATTTTGTAGTTTTCATTGTACAAGTCTTTTACCTCCTTGGTTAAACTAATTCCTAAATATTTTATTCTTTTTGAGGCTATTTTAAATGGAATTGCTTTCATAATTTCCTTTTCAAACTGTTCATTGTTAGTGTATAAAAATGTAACTGATTTTTATAAGTTGACTTAGTATCCAGATGCTTTGCTGAATTCATGTGGTAGTTTGTACATGAGCATGTGCTTTTTTTTTTTTTTTAAAGAGAGAGTGTGAGAGAGAGAGAGAGAATTTTTTAATATTTATTTTTTAGTTCTCAGCGGACACAACATCTTTGTTTGTATGTGGTGCTGAGGATCGAACCCGGGCCACATGCATGCCAGGAGAGTGTGCTACCCCTTGAGCCACATCCCAGCCTGAGCATGTGCTCTTGAACCTTGTAGAACAATGTTGAATAGAAGTGGCAAAAGTGTATATCCTTGCTTTATTCTTGAGTAGAGAAAAAACTTTCAGTGTAACCATTGAATATAACATTAGCTATGGGTTTTTCAATATAAAACTTCTGTTTTGTTGAGGTAGTTTTCTTTTTTCCTGTTATTGAATGAACTATTAGTAATTTCAGGGCCTAATTAACTCCCAATTAAAGCATCCTAATTTCTTTCTGTTTCCACAGTATTATTCATTATTACTTTCACATAAGACAAATTGTAACCCAACGTAGTTTTTATACTTTTTTTAATATTTATTTTTTAGTTGTAGTTGGACACAATACCTTTATTTATTTATTTTTTATGTGGTGCTGAGGATCGAACCCAGGGCCTTGCATGTTCTAGGCAAGTGCTCTACCACGGAGCCACAACCCCAGCCCTAGTTTTTACACTTTTTACCAATTGGTAACAAAAGTTTGTTGGAGGCAAAGACTGAGCTACTAGATCGAGGCTTGGTTGTTTTTAATTTTGTAAATTTGCTTTATCTCATGGGAGCAAAAATCTTTTTATTTATTAGAATAAAGACAAAAATTTTATGTATTAGAATAGTTCTACAAACACATGTTTACAACAAAATGAACCACGGTCCATTAAGACACAGTAATGCAGATTTAAGAATGCTGATGGTCAATCTCAGTAGCAAAAGCAGAGCTGTCCTCATTGGTCTGATTATTGCTGTCTTGATTATGTTTTCTTTACAAACTGGATACTGGAGAATGTGTGGCCAAAGCTCGATTTTTTTCCTTTTTCCCTTTTCCTTCTCTCTCTTTTTTTTTCCTTTTATCTTCATTTTTTTTTTTAGTTGTAGATGGACATAATACCTTTATTTTATTTATTTTTATGTGGTGCTGAGGATCAAACCCAGTGCCTCACACATACGAGGCAAGTGATCTACCACTGAGCCACAACCCCAGACTCCAAAGCTCAATTTTTTTAAAAAGTTCATGATACCTTTAATGCCCCAAAACACAGATAATTAAGAACTATAATATGTTTAAGGGATTTATCTGATTACAATGTCCAAATCAACACTCTGTAATGGAATTTGAATGACACATTTAGATGTGCTCAACCGACATCAAATGTCTACCCATAGATAGGGCTGGGGTTGTGGCTCAGTGATGGAGAGTTTGCAAAGCACAGGTGAGGCACTGGGTTCAATCCCCAGCACCACACACACACACACACAAAAAAAAAAAAAAAAAAAAAAAAAAAAAAAAACCTAAATAAACAGAAGTATTGTGGTGCATCTACAACTAAAAATATATTTTTAAAAATGTTTACCCATAATTATCTCTTGCTCTAATATTTCCTTAAAGGTTCTCACATTTCGAATTGGAAATCACCCAGGAGTCCTGAACCCTAGTCCAGCTGTGGAGGTTGTACAAGTGCGCTTCATATGTGCCCATCCTGCCAGTATGTCCGTAACACCAGTATACAAGGTGCCAGCTGGTGCCCAGCCCTGTCCTCTGCCTCAGCACAACAAACAACTGGTAAGCATCAAGTCTGTTTCCAATGAGGCATTTTTGTTTTCCATGCTTTAGAGGCAGGGATATGAAATAAAGCTTTTGTCTCATCAAAGTCAAGGTAACTATTTTGTTACTCATTTTCTAATAGTGAGTAAACTGTTAGACTTGGTAAACTTAGTGACATGACTGTGCTTGTTGTACACAGCTTGTGATTATGACAATAGACAACGGAGATCTCTCCTAATTACTTCCAAAAGGTCTTGCTAATATGCTTTCATAATAAATCTTTTAGCATTGTTAATAAATAATAAAATTTAATGATGAGCAATAATGTAGTTATTTTGTAGGTAGCAGAGAAATGAAGAATTAATTGTCTAATAATGATTTGTCTAATAAAGTTTTAAAAAGTGAATCAGAGACTGGGAGTGTAGCTCAGTGGTAGAGCTTTCACATTCCACGTGGGAGGCACTGGGTTTGATCCTCAGCACCACATAAAAATAAAATTAAAAAATAAATATTAAAAACTTCTCTCTCTCTCTCTCTCTCTCTCTCTCTCTCTCTCTCTCTCTCTCTTTAAAAAAAAGGCTTAGTATGTCTTTTGAAAAAAAATAAAATAAAATGAAGGTATTGTGTCCACATACAACTAAAAAGCTAGAACATATATATATATATATATAATAAATGAGGTTGACTGTAATCCTAATCATGGGAGAAGTCATTACTCACCCTATACAGAACAGAACAATCTATTAATTTTTCCCATTTTACAGGTGAGAAAACTTAATGTGTTAGTCAGCTTTTCATTGCTATAACTCAACTAGCTGACAAGAACAACCTAAATGAGTATAAGTTTATTCTGAGTTCAAGGTTTCAGAGGTCCCATCCAGATTGACTGACTCCATTGCTCTGAGCCCAAGACAAGGCAGAGCACGATGGTATAGCAGGGAATAGCTGTTCCACTCATGACATCCAGGAAGCAGGGGGTGCTGATGGGGCCACAAGGAAGATCAGTTCTTCCAAGGCACATCCCTAGTTATCCACTTTCTTCCTCAAGCCAAGCCTCACCTACCTACAGTTACCACCCAGTTAGTCTAGTCAAACTAGAGTGGACTGATTAGGCTATACCTCGCATGATTTAATCATTTCACCTCTGAATAGTCCTGAATTAACACAGGAGCTTTTGGGGGACACCCCATATCTACACCACAACACTAGGCTGGGGTTGTAATGCAGTAGTAGAGCACTTGCCTAGCATGTGTGAGGCACTGAGTTCAATTCTCAGCACCACATATAAATAAATAATTATTTTAAAAAATCAATGAATAAAGCTAAACCACAAAACTGAGGCTTTTAGAAGTTGAGTAACATTCCCCAAAGTCATCAACTAGAAAGTAGTACATCTGTCTGATCACAAACACGTTATTAACTTTATGTTGTACTGCCTTATATTATTAAAGAATAGTATGAGATGTTACAAGTCTAGAACCCAGATTTTTTTCAGAATCAAATTCCACACTAAGTATTATAATTTTAATTTTATGAATGATTCACTTTTAAAAATATATTTTTAGTTGTATATGGACACAATACCTTTATTTTATTTTTATGTGGTGCTGAGGATCAAACCCAGTGCCTTCCACGTGTGAGGCAAGAGCTCTACCACTGTCCATACTCCCAGTCCCTGATTGACTTTTCAAAAAGTATTTCTGGGCTGGGGATACAGCTCAGTGGAAGATCACTTTACTTGTGATGAACCCAGACTAATTCCATTTTAAGATTGTGAGCCATCTCATCACAAAGTCTTGAAAAGTTAATTTCTGTTTTACTATAAATTACTGTGATTTCTAAACTTGTTTGGAGTTCCTCCCTGTGCCTTGAACTCACCCATGCCTGGCTTTCCCTGACCAGATAACAATCCTCTCTAAAACCTTAGCTGTGCCTCATAAATTCTGATGTGGATCTAAATTTATTCCCTACCTTGAAATGTTAAGCCATTTATATCATTAACATACGATCTTCCTTTGTATTATGCTTGTCATTGTTATCTGTAAGTTCTCAAGACACCCCCCCTTTGCAATTTTTTGTGCTATAAAACCTTATTCCTGGAAAGCTGGAGTGCTGGTCTCTAGCCCAGGTTGGGAGAGACAGCCATTGATCACTCTTTTTTGTGTGTACACAATACAAGCTTGCTTTAATTTTATTTAAAATTGGAGTCAGTGGTCTTTTCTTTGCATCGGGGTTCAACACTTGCCTTGCCTATGTGAGGTCCTCAGTTTCATCCCCAGAACTGCAAAAACAAACAAATAAAATGAAAAAATCACAAACACTACAAGTGGAATAGAACCAGCTTTACCCCTATAGCATAATTATCTTCAATGTCATTTTCTATTCATTTTAAATAATTCAAGTTTACAGAAAAGTTACAAAAAATGTTTTCCCTGAACCATTTGAGTTAGAGACATGATTCTCTATCACCCTTTCCACATATATTTATTTTTATACTTGAGATATGATATTTAAGTCATATAGTTCAACCTCTTGAAATGTACAATTTAAAGTTATTTAGGAACCACCACACTACCTTACTCCAGCTCTTTTTGTTGTTCTTGTTTGCAGTACTAGGGATTAAAACCATGGCCTTGTGCCCTTTAAATTTTGGCCTCAAACTTGTGATGCTCCTGCTTGTCTCCTGAGAAGCTGGCATTACAGGCATCCACCATGCCTGGCTTCCAGATAATTCTCATTTTCCCCAGAAGAAGTCCCATACTAATTAGCAGTTGCTTTCATTACCTCCTCTTAGCTGCTGTCAATCACTAATATACATTTTATCTTTATGGATTTGCCTATTTAGACATTTCATATAAATCATATAATGTGTGTTACTTATAAAAGTTTAGCTTCTTTCATTTAGCATGTTTTCAAAGTTCATTTGTGTTGTAGCATTTATCAATACTGTATTCTTTTTTGTGTGTGTGCTTGAATGGTAGTCCATTATGTAGAAATACTACAATTTGCTTTTCCACTCATCCGTTGTTTCTATTTTGAGGCTACCAGTAAAGTGCTGCCATGAATATTCACATGCAAGTTTTCATGTGAACATGTTTTCATTTCTCTTGAGTATGTATCTAGAATTGGAATTGTTGACTCATATGTTAACTCTGTTTAGTCTTTTGAAGAGCTGCATTATTTTACATTTCCCCTAGCAAGGTAAGAGAATAGCAGTCTTTCTGTATCCTTGCCAATACTTGCTTTTTAAAAAATACTTTTTAGTTTTTTACAGTTGGACATAATACTTTTATTTTATTCATTTATTTTTATGTGGTGCTGAGGATGGAAGCCAGCGCCTCGCACGTGCTAGGCAAGTGCTCTACTGCTGAGCCACAACCCCAGCCACCCCACCCCCAATACTTGTTAATGCTTGTCATTTTGATATAACCTTCCTAGAGGAAATGAAGTAGTATCTCATGGTGATTTTTATTTGCACTTTCCAATGACTAATTAGATTATGCATCTTTCCATGTGTTTATTGGCCATCTGTATATCTTCTTTGAAGAAATATATTTTACCAGCTTTTTTTCAGATCTTTTGCCAGCTCTTTTCCCCTTATACTGAAGACTGAACCCAGGGCCTTGCACATGCTACTAAAGCACTCTACCACCGAGCTATTTTTTATACCACCATTTTCTATTTTTGGAAGAAGTTGAGAATTATTGCCATTCATTGTTCCTTAAACATTTGGTAAAATGTATCAGTTAAGTCATCTGCATCTTTCTATTGATTTCATTTTGAGATAGGATCTTGCTAAATTGCCCAGGTGGTCCTGCCTCAGCCTCCTGAGTATCTGGGGTTATTGGCATACACCACCACACCTGGCCTTTTGACAGTTTTTTTTTTAAATTGAATTGTCTTTTTATTCTGTTTTAAGAGTTCTTCATTTCATATATTCTGGATACAAGTTTGTTTTCAAACTTGATTTGCAAGATTTTTATACTGTTTTATGGGTTTTCTTTCACCTTCTTGATAGCATTTTTTGAAGCACAGAAGTTTTTAGTTTATCCAATTAATCATTTTTGTTGTTGTTGCTTATACTTTTGGTGTAGTATCTAAGAAACTATCGCTCAATCCAAGGGCAGAAAGATTTATGACTTTGATTTCTTCTAAGAGTTTTATAGCTCTTAATTTTGTCCCCTGATCCATGTTGAGTTCATTTTTATCTCTAGTGTGAGGTAGGAATCCATCTTCATTCTTTTGTATGTGAATATCCAGTTGACTCAGAACCATTTATTATTAAGATTATTCTTGGGCTGGGGATTTGGCTCAAGCCGGAGCACACTCGCCTGGCATGCGTGCGGCCCGGGTTCGATTCTCAGCACCACATACAAACAAAGATGTTGTGCCTGCCGAAAACTAAAAAAAATAAAAAATATTTTAAAAAATATATTATTTTCTCCTTTGAGTAGTCTTGGCATTTTTATTGAAAATTTATTAACCATAAACATGAGAATTCATTTCTGAACTCCAAAATTTATGCTATTAATTTTTGTGTTTGTGGTGAGGGGGATTGGGGATTTAACATAGGGATGCTTTGCCACTGAGCTACATCTCCAGTCCTTTTTTTATTTTGAGATAGAGTACTACTAAATTGCTGAGGCTGGCCTCCAACTTGCAAACTTCAGCCTCTCAAATTGCTGGGATTACAAAAAAGCACCACTTTTTGTTCTTTTTGATGCTATCATAAATGGTGTTATTTCCTTAATTTCATTTTCAGATTATTCATTGCTAGTAGTAGAAATACAACTGAGCTGGATATGGTGGCACATGCCTGTAATCTCAGGAACTCAGGAGGCTGAGTCAGGAGGACTGTAAGCTCAAGGCCAGCCTCAAAAATTTAGTGAGACCTTCAGCAACATACTGAGATCCTATCTCAAAAATAAAAAGGACTGGTGATATAGATCAGTGTATAGACCCCTATATTTCATCCCCAGTACCAAAAAAGAAAGAAAAGAAAATACAATTGCCTTTTA